GAGAGAATATGAAGAGTATAAAGTAAGGGTAAATGCTTTAGTTGCCAAGGCTCAGAAAACACCGGAGGATGGATGGACCATGGCAGATGGAACCCCTTGGCCAGGAAACAACTCACGTGATCATCCTGGAATGATTCAGGTAAGTGGTCATTGATTTTGCAACAATCTTTGTACTCGCTGCTTTCGGATCACTTTGCTTCTTGAAGTTCTAGTATTTGTGCAACTTTACTATTCAACAGAAGCATTTTGGAGTTCAAATAAGCACCATAATATTTCTTCTTCGCAGGTTTTCTTGGGACATAGTGGTGTCCATGACATTGAAGGAAATGAACTTCCACGTCTCGTTTACGTCTCAAGAGAGAAAAGACCTGGTTATCAACACCACAAAAAAGCTGGTGCTGAAAATGCTCTGGTGTGTTCAGATGCAACTTATTAGCATTGATCTTAGACTATTTTTATTTAATTCCTTTTACAAACTTACTGTTTTATTTCAGATACGGGTGTCTGCAGTTCTCACAAATGCACCCTATATTCTCAATCTTGACTGTGATCACTACGTCAATAACAGCAAAGCCATTCGTGAGGCTATGTGTTTCCTAATGGATCCACAAGTCGGCAGAGATGTCTGTTATGTGCAGTTCCCTCAGAGATTTGACGGGATTGATAAAAGTGACAGATATGCCAACAGAAACATAGTCTTCTTTGATGTAAGTATCGTGAGCAACTAAAATTGATATAAGTATGTTGCCAACTGGATTAAGATGGATTTTATCATCTTTTCAGGTTAACATGAAAGGTTTGGATGGCATCCAAGGACCTGTATATGTCGGTACAGGAACTGTTTTCAATAGGCAAGCACTTTATGGTTACAGCCCTTCTAATCTGCCTACAATACATAAATCTTCTTCATCTTTCTCTTGCTGCTGTCGCCGCAAGAAACCAGCCAAAGAGAAGGATCTTACTGAGGTTTATCGTGAGGCAAAAAGAGAAGATCTGAATTCCGCAATCTTCAACCTAAGAGAAATTGAAAGTGAGTTTCTATTATCTTTGGAACTAGTGAGAAATTGGCCTCCATTATCTTTAGAAATTTAACCTTGGAGCTATCATTTTGGTGTCTTCAGATTATGACGATCATGAGAGGTCCTTGCTTATCTCTCAGATGAGTTTTGAGAAAACTTTTGGCATGTCATCCGTGTTTATCGAATCTACATTGATGGAAAATGGAGGAGTACCTGATTCTGCTAATCCATCGACACTGATCAGGGAAGCAATTCATGTTATCGGCTGTGGTTATGAAGAGAAGACAGCATGGGGAAAAGAAGTAAAAATTGAATCTCTCTCTTTTGGTTTCACTTATGGAAAGAAGGGGCTAACTCTTTTCTCTTTGTATATCCTTTTCAGATTGGTTGGATTTATGGTTCAGTGACAGAGGATATCTTGACTGGCTTCAAGATGCAGTGCAGGGGATGGAGGTCAATATACTGTATGCCATTGAGACCTGCTTTCAAGGGGTCAGCTCCTATCAACTTGTCAGACAGGTTGCACCAAGTTCTTCGATGGGCTCTTGGCTCGGTTGAGATTTTCTTGAGTAGGCATTGTCCTTTATGGTATGGATTTGGAGGCGGACGTCTCAAATGGCTCCAAAGACTTGCCTACACCAACACCATTGTCTATCCTTTCACTTCTCTTCCCCTCATTGCATATTGTATTCTTCCTGCTGTTTGCCTTCTTACAGGAAAATTCATCATCCCTACGGTAAATGCTTCCACGTCTCTGACTTGTTTGCAACTTTCGAAACTGTTTAAAGATTTTTCAAATGAGTGCACATTAGGAGCTGGTATTAAGGCTGCTTTTCTTTAGTTTCAATAATTACTGAGTGAAGTTCTTGTGCCTTCTATGCAGCTATCGAACATTGCAAGTATACTCTTCCTTGGTCTTTTCCTTTCCATCATTGTAACAAGTGTGCTTGAGCTACGATGGAGTGGTATAGGCATAGAGGACTGGTGGCGTAACGAGCAGTTCTGGGTGATTGGTGGTGTCTCTGCACATCTCTTTGCAGTTTTCCAAGGATTCCTCAAGATGCTTGCCGGTATAGACACAAACTTCACAGTGACAGCCAAAGCTGCAGACGATGGAGAGTTTGCCGATCTCTACCTATTCAAATGGACAACAGTCTTGATCCCTCCCACCACAATTCTCATTGTCAACTTAGTTGGTGTTGTTGCTGGTTTCTCTGATGCACTCAACAAAGGATATGAGGCTTGGGGTCCTTTATTTGGCAAAGTGTTCTTCTCATTTTGGGTGATCCTTCATCTTTATCCATTCCTCAAAGGTCTCATGGGACGCCAAAATCGAACTCCAACTATTGTTGTGCTATGGTCTGTGCTGTTGGCTTCTGTTTTCTCACTAGTATGGGTCAAGATAAATCCATTTGTCAGCAAAGATGACCCTTCAGCCATGGTTCAGAACTGCATCGACATGGATTGTTGAGCTTCGAACAAGTTTCTTGAACCATACCGCATGTTTGATAATGTAGGCTTCTTTTTCATGTAATGTGGAGGTGAAAACTCTTCAATTTCTAGCACAGTTTGATCAGCTTGTATCAGTTTTTCCAGTAGAAGTTTTATTTGGAAATAGAATGTTGAAACTTTTGAAATTACAAAGGTAAAGTTGAACTGATAATGAAAAGTATTATGCTACTTGAGATTAATGGATTTCTTATCTAGTCTTTTGAGTTTTCTCATAGTTCTAACAGAACAGGTAAACACAATTTAGACTCAAAATGTGCTATTCATTCTTTAATAAAGCAGTTTGATTAAGCTTTTGAAAATTAAGTTTAAGAGCAAAATCCTTGGGAAAAAGGTACACACGTTAAAATCTGAGGGACACACATTAATTAAACTAAGGTGTCATTACTTTGAAGTTTTTTTTCGTTATATTGTACACCTATTTGACTTATGTGACATCCAAATACTACCATGCACCTCAATTGCATGAAGTCACAGAGTGTGTCACGGAAGTCAAAAGGTGTACAAAATTATTTTAAAAAAATGAGTTCGAGGTAATAGGACCTTTGTTTAGTTAAAATGTATTTCTGAAATTTCGATTACAATTTAGGGGTACCCGTATCTTATCTCTGATCTTCAGTGGCGTTAGTAGGATTTTTCGTAAATAGTGTCGATATTTTACAAATAAATTAATAATAAATAAATTGATAAAAATATTAAATCAACAAATGTTATTTAAAATGTACTAATAAAACATAAATAAAGTAAACTACAAAAAAAAAATCAAGTAAACTACTAAAACAATCCTCAACGAGTTTTCATATTATTGTATTCAATTCTGATTTGATTAAGTAATAAAATTTTTATAGAAGGTTTTATATTGTATTCTAGTTCAACTTGTTTGTTTTAGCCTAATTTAACTAGGAATAGGGAGGTTGGAGGTTCGAATCTTTCTTATAAACTCTCTTCATTCGCTGCGCTGACCAACGAGCCAAAGCGCTCCCTTATCTAAGGAGTGTCATTATTAATATTTATACGTTTATTTTTATGTTTTCAGATTAATATTATATATATTAATAAATTTCAATAAGACGGTGTCAGCTGACTCCCTTAATATAAGGTGGGTCCGTCCCTACCGATGCTCGAAATGAAAGTAATATAACATATAAAGTTAGAAAGGACAACTTTACTTATTCAGTCTTTTGTTAATAAGACACCTTTGTAAATTGTAAGAGGTCTATTTAGAGGAAGTCTTTCAAAGGGGGCAAACTAAAATTTTGGAAAAATCACAATATTCTCAATTTCTGTCATAGGTAACTATATCACTAGTACTTTTTTGTTTACCTTGTATACTTAATACCCACTTTAAAGTCCAATCAATCTAAATTTGCATTGAAACATTTTATTCAGCAATAAAAATACGAACAACTCTATTCTCAAGGCTCGTATTAGAAATTGATATGTAAGAGTCATTAATATGTTTAATTTAGCCTTGAAAAGAAGTTCTTTGAATTATTACTTTATTGATCCATGTTAGTGTAAGGTGAAATGTGTTTTGTCACAAAGCTAAGAATTTCCAAGTTGTGTAGACCACAATACTTTAATTCAAAGGATAGAATCACATAAAGATTTAAAAAAAACTAGTATTCCAAGCAAAGAATAATTATGAAAAAATGTGTTTATAAAAAGGGCCAAGAATGGTACGAGGAAAAAAGCATATACTATAATTTTTTTTAAGAAAAAGTTGGAGTGCACCTGAGTCCAGCAGAAAATACTTGGATTCTGATTAAGCCTTATTTTATTATAATATAATGTCCTTTTCGTACTCAATAAACATAATAATCTCTACCATCAACATTTGTTTTTTAATGTCCGTTGCTTCGCACTTAATTTACAAAATATAATATTGCTTATCAATTTTTGGAAGTCGCGATTTCGACTTTTAACTTTATCAAAACAATTTTCTCGTATATTTTAAAAATTATTTTGCATGTGATGGCTAATATTTCTCGTACATTTTAAAAATTATTTTGCATGTGATGGCTAATATGTGTTGTCCTAATAATAAATAGCTAATATTAGAGACGAACGATTTAGAACATGAACTCGAGTAGATTAACGGATTAAAAATAATCTATAGGTGATAAATATTAATTATTGAACAAGAGATCAAAGTTATAAGTTCATTGAAATCAGTAATTGGGGTTGAGATTTTGTATGTATGGTTAAAAAAATCATCAAATAAAATAAAAAAAATTGATCTGAAGCTTGAACTATAAAGTTCAGATTTTGGATATACCTTTAGTGGTGAAACACACTAAGTATTGAAACTAACTTTATTAATAAGTTTATGTTTAAACAGAAATATTTGATAAAATAAGTAGAATGCGATTAATTTATAACTTTTGACTTTAAATATGTAACTCAAAAATATTATTTTCAAACACAAAATAACCCCAACAAAGTGTTTACAAGTTTTTGCTTATAAGCTTATTGAAATGATAAATACTTATCGCACTCAATAGTCATTCTTTAACACCCATTTCACGCCCGGTGCTCAGTATCTAGTAACACCCACTTTATGTCAAGTGCATCTGGTGTCTGGATAATTTTGATCTTGGGACCCAATACACCCACTTCACTCTCAGTGTTCAGCATCTGGTAATACCCACTTCAGACCCAGTTCTCAGCATCTGGTGCCTGGATAATTTTGATTTTGGTGATTCCAACATCGAGTGAGACGGACCCTGCTCTAAAACAATGTGAAATTAGCTTTTAGGCCTAACTAAAACCCCAAAAACTAACTCAAAGGAAGGAAGATTGCTCAAATTTTATAAGGAGTTCACCCATCTTATTAACCATCAATTTGGACTTTTGTTACTGTATAAAAGTCTAAACATAGTCACTAATAATTTTTAACTATGTAAACACCTTTTTGACCCAACCAACTGTGTAATAATTTTACAATGCAAGGCACCCACTAAGATTCGACTCGTAAACAGCGCCTCATCTCGTGCAATAGGGTTCGAGCACAACGGTGCTCAGCACTCTCAAAATCCTTTTCTTGTACAAACTCCAACATACAAGAAGTTCTCTTCTTTTCCTTCTTCAACTATGGCTCCATTGTTCCTCTCATTCACCTTTCTACTCTTTCTACTCTCCACAAAATCATCATCTCAATCCACTAATCTTGACCCAAACCAACTCAAAGCTCTCAGATCACTAAGTGTACCAACAGGAAAAGACCCCTGTTCTCCTCTTCACAATTCCACCATTTGTGACTCTTCCACTCCCTTTCACCATCTCATCTCTCTCAAACTCATAAACTGTTCAACTGATGTTACATTATCCCAATCATCTCTCAAAACTCTCTCCACTCTCCAAGACTTACAGTTCATCAACTGCCCTGTTTCTCCTGTTCATTTCCCTTCTGAACTTTCCTCCAGTCTCCAATCCTTCACTTGCATCAACTCTCTCAAGAAACTCACAAGCGTTTGGCTAATTCAATTGCGCAATGTGGTTAGTTTAACGGTGTCACATGTCCCTGTTTCTGCTAGTGGCCCTTCTATAATCTTGAACAGTATCAAGAACTTACAGAGTGTCACAATTTCTCATGCAAATCTCAAAGGGGTTGTTCCTACAAAATGGCATATGAATCTTACTTATGTTGATTTATCTGGGAATCAGCTAAAAGGGAAAATACCAAGTTCTTTAACTGAACTTGAAAATCTTTTGCATTTGAATCTTTCTTCAAATTCACTCAATGGGACTATACCAAATTCATTTGGTAACTTACTTTCTTTAAGAAATGTGTCATTAGCTTCAAATGCTCTGTCTGGAAGTATTCCGAAATCGATTTCTGCAATATCTGGATTAGTCCATCTTGATCTTGGATCAAATCAATTGAATGGAACTGTTCCAAAGTTCATATCAGATATGAAGGGATTGAAATACTTGAATCTTGAAAGAAACAATTTCGAAGGGGTTTTGCCATTCAATGCTTCTTTCATCAAGAAACTAGTTGTGTTCAAAGTGGGAGAAAATTCAAATCTTTGCTACAATCATTCCACACTGTCTTCAAAACTAAAACTTGGCATTGCAGCTTGTGATAAACATGGATTGCCAGTGTCTCCGCCGCCTCCTAAGGAAGATTTCAGTGATGATACTGCCGAGGATGATACTCCACCACCTAAACATGAACATGGACCAAGCAGAGTTGTTTTTGGTGTGGCTATTGGACTTTCATCCATTGTGTTTTTGATTATTTTATTGGTTTTATTGTCCAAATGTTGTAAATGATCATCATCACTGTAAATTGTGACAAATTCTTGGTCCGGTTAGAATTTTGAGTTTTGAAAGCATGATCAGTTAATAATGAATCATTTACACTTTTGAAAGTATGCTTATGTTCATCATTTAGTATTTCTTGAAATTGATTCACAAACAAAAGTACTCCATCCGTTTAAAAAAAATGATCTAGTTTGATTAGGAATGAAGTTTAAGAAAATGAAGAATAATGTTGTGATTCTAAATTAAAGTTATGTCAAATGTATCAAAATATCATTTAATGTTATAATTTTAAACATGTCACATGAAAATTAAAGTGTTACAAAAAAAAATATAATTCTTTTTAAAGTAGACTAAAAAAAACTAGATCATTCCTCTTAAAACGGAACTTTGAACTCTCTAGCTCAGACTCAAATATTTAAATGAACAAGCTTGCGTATACGTTTCAACTAATGTTAATATAATTATATATTCTGCGAGAGTATTTTATATACTCTATAGTCTAGTCAATCTTATAAGATCTGTTCCCTTTTTTTTTTATAGTGAGTGATATTTGGTAATTAATGAATGATGATATGAGCTATGAGCTATAATTAAAGATGTTATCATGGGTCCTCTGTGAGCATGAGTGATAAATAATGAAAAGATCAAATATGTCAGCTTTTACTATGTTCATGGTTGGTTTTTTTATTCCAATCTTGTTACAAAAGGAACATGCCTCTCCTGATTCTTTGCAAGATTATTTTTAATTTGACAAAACATAATGGCTCTTTAACTTCACAAAGGGTCAAGAAAAGTTCAAGACGACTCTGAAGCTCATATTTGAATTGCTGAAAAGAAGGATAAATTGAACTCCAATCTATGTTACACTATGTTTCACATAGAAATTTGTTTTCATCAAGATCTGACCTTGTCCTTTTACTACAATATTTGACTATACATGTTGATAAAAGGATTCGTTTACTTTGCTTTGTTTTTTCATTTTCCTTTTACAAAAAATGAATATTCAGAAAGAGTGACTATAATAATTGGTGAAGAAATGAAACAAAAATCAAATTAAGTAATAATTATCTTTCCATCTTTAATTAGAGATTCAGATTCAAATACCTTGAGTATGAATGTAGATTTTGTTAAGGAAAATAAAATATTTTTTAATGTGAATCAAATTTAATCTAACTATAAAAAAAAAACAATCCTTTTCTCATCCAAAACCATATTCTACTTGTATGTAGCACGTGTGATAAGTGATGATGAGACAAAAAATGTGTACATGGCTTTTGTGGTCAGCCTGCATACACGTCAACTATTTTATGTGGTATTGGGTGTTGTGTTTAATTTAACTAAAAATAGAGTCTACGATATATGTAGTCATTTCATTAAGAATCGAAAAAAGAAAAATAGATTTTCAAGAAAATATGGGTGCAACAGCAACTGCAGTTTTCTCTTCAAATTCCATATCTCAATTGCCCTCCTTCTCTGCTTTATGTAAACCCAACTTGGGGATCCGAATACCAAAAGGTACTTTTTTTTTTAATTATGAAAATCTTCCATGAAATGAGTTGATTAATTTGTGTTCTTATGAATTCTTGAAATTAAAATTGTAATTTAATTGGGAAGTTACTTGCGAAAATCTTGAGTTTTATTTATTACTACTGGAATTGGAAGCAAGAATTGTTCACCCAATTTACTTCAACTTACCTGTGTTATGAACATTGATCTAGGTTAAAAGATGAATGTTTAGCTAGTCTATGCAATTGATGGATCAAAAATGTGGAATTTGATTGTTAATCAAGAAGGGTCAAGTAGATGAGAAGAAGAGATTTAGTATGCCTATTGTAGCTAGATCTGCATTTCCATATAACTTTGTGGATGTTTTTCTGTTATCTGTAGAGGAATTTGGTATATTCTACGAGAAAAAAAGATAAATATACCCGAATTATTGTAAATGATACGCAGATACCATCCGTTATATTTGTTGGATTCATGTCATCCAAAAATTAGAGTATATATGCTCTTCACTCTAATGGTAGATTAAATAGACACATGTGGCACAATCTTATTGATAGATCCTATATATAATAAATGTTGATAATAAATGTTGGATCGGTGGATATGATTATGACACATTGATGTTTCTTAGTATAAAGGGTATGTATTCTCTAGTTTTTAGATGGTAGGGCACCAATGTCCCAAAAGTATGACGGAGGGTATCTGCATACCATTTACGATAGTTCGGGTACATTTGTCCTTTTTTCCTATTTTATAATCACCATGACTTGTAAGTTGTAGGAAGGAGTGCTTGGGAGTACAACATGAACTCTTTATTTGTAATTTGTCATTCTTGGTTTGTGTGTTGGGGTGGGGGAAGAGGGACGAGGTTTTGGTGGAGGAGGATTTTAACATGAGGGACATCTTTGATATGATTTTCACACAATGAGACTAATATACCTCAAGAGTCTGATATTGGCTAGTCATGCACATCAGGGCTAAGAAATAGAATTAACTTTGTAGCCTGGCTCTAATTGTTCGAAATTGACCTCCAGCATTGGCATAGACATATTTGAACCCCTGGTGATCTCCTTTCGTTGCCATCTGTTTTTCCCCGCTTTCTATTTGGAGATAATGTTTGTATTGGACATGCGGTTGTATATGGATCTTGTGATTCAATCGATTATGTATGGTTAGATACTTTTTATTTTAGTCTACTAGAAATGATAACACCCAGCGTCATCGGTAAGCCTCAATTTTCATCCAGACATCAGGATGAGTATGCATCATATTAGATAGATAGCATGAATTCTGGAAATTTAAACTGAGGTATTGATTTTTGATGCAGCTTGTTCAATTTGGCAGAGATTACATATGGGCTTTCGTTGAGTACAAATCGTAGGGATTTTCATTGTTCAACTCTCTCCACCATAAGAGCTGATGGGATCAGGCGACGAAAGTCTTCAAAAGATGCTACACCAGGGAAAACATCCAAAGGTAGTGAGCTCAATATACAGCCATCCCCCGACAGTAAATTGCCAAATTCATTGAACCAGGAAGAGATCATTTCTCTTTTCAAGAGAATACAATCTTCAATTTCAAAAGGTGATTCTACAAGTTCCAAGAAAAGAAGTACTAAGTCTTCTGAAGAGAGGCCTGCTATTGATTCGGTCTTAGAAATCCTTCGACATTCAAAGACAGAAGCAAAAGGTATTGATTTCTTTCAGTTTAATACAGGCCTGTTTCCAGTCGTCCAACTCTTCCCAAAATTCTATCCCAATGCAAATGATGATACCTCAGTCAGATAATATCTTTTTTCTTCTGCAGGTACAAAGGATGACAAGGGTTCGACTCATCAAGAAGATCAAAAAGAACCAGAAACAGACTATTCACCAACAGCAGATCCAAGATCAACACGCCTACGGTCAAGCTTTGTGAAAAGATCGCCTCTACAATCCCCATTTAACTCCAAAGAAAAAGTTAAGCTCAAGATGGAGACATCACTGGAGAATCATGTTGAAAGTGAAGCAGTCAAAATTGAAGAAATGAAACTTCCTCAGCTTAAAGAACTGGCAAAATCTAGAGGACTCAAGGGTTATTCAAAACTGAAGAAAAGTGAACTAGTGGAATTACTCATTGGTTGTTGAGACAATGCAAAGATGATCAAGTCATCCATCCAATGCTTTACATGTTTGACAGTTTAACTGCAGGACTCGTCTCTTTTTTCGTATCTGCTTTCTTTCACGGAGAAACAAGATGAAAGGGCAGAGTACTGTGTGAGTTTTAACACATTCATTTGTTTGTTGGTTTGTAACATATGTTGTCTTTAAAGTCTCATTGCCTTAATGATAACTTTCTCAAGTTGCTTACCTTCTCCTCCTCTCCATACCCCAACTATTTGCTTACTTCAATGGTTGAAAGAGGGGTTACTATTCCTCCAATCTGCCTTGTTGTTTTCTTATATATATCTGATGTGGTCTTTTAGCCTGGTGTTGGAAGATCCTCACTTGCCATGCATCAGTGTTGCCCGGACCTCGAAAAACAAGACTTCATCTTTTCCATTGGGGAAATGGCTTGCAATAACAAATTGGTGAAGATGAGAATTATACATGGTCTTTATTTTTGGAGTCTGAAGCCTGAAGTGCAAAAAAAAAATTGTCAAAAATTTTAAATGGGTATATCAATTTCTTTTCTAACCAAAAGGGTAAAATCGCTACTGATGCAGCGATTTAGTTTTTATTTGTTCATATTTTTTTATATAAAAAAAAAAAGAAAATCGCTGCCAATGCAACATTTTTGGCGATTTTTTTAAAAAAAAGAGTTAAAATCGCTGCAACAACAGGATTTTTATAAAAAAAATAAAATATATTTTTTTAAAAATCGCGTAAAATTATTTTTTTTTGAATAATCGGTGTTTACAGTGATTTCTGCACTTTTTTTTGTTCTGTCTTAATGATTTCTTTTTTTTAAAAAAAAAAAGTGATTTGTTTTTTTTTTAATTTTCTGCCAATTTTTTTTTAAAAAAAGATCAGATTAAATATTGGTAATTTATTTTTTGGTCAAAAGAAAAATCGCATTACAATTTTTAATAAAGATTTCACATAATACGATTATAAGAAATAAAATGATAGCAATATCTTTAAAAAAATAATTAATTAACTAAAATAGTTGCCTAGCGGCCATGGAACCAAATTTTTAAAAAAGAAAGAAAAAAAGTTTCACAGAAATTGCTGCCTCGGCAAAGATTTTTCAAAAAAAAATAAAAATAAAATTCTCCTCTAAAATCGTTGCCTAGGTAGCGATTAAAAAAAACAATGAAAACACTGTACGGACAGCGATTTTCTTGTAAAAGTGAAAAAAGTTCGGACAAAATTACTGGTAGGTCAACGATTTTACCCTTTTAATTAAAAAAAATTGATATATCTTTTTTGACAATTATTTTTGCCTTTTAGGCTTAAGACTCATTATTTTTGGTTCATTTTTACACAGTCGATTACTCCCTCTGTTGGATTCATTCCCAGTTCCACCCAAAACTATAGTTGAGAAATTTATTTACAATAAAGCAGTGAGTGTGAATAATCACTTCAAAGCCTATTAGATGTACCAGTAACAGATTGCTTCAGGGAACTTAAGTATTAGTGTTCCATCAATTATACAAAACTAATTAGAACAATTAATTGTAATCTCTCGGGTGAGAGCCGAGTATCCTGACCAACTAGACTACAACAGACTTGTTAATTAATATTTATTTATTATAATTTACCAAATTGTTTCACGTAAATGATCGGAAGCAATTTTTTCTAGCTCCAAAGCAATTTTTCAGCTCTATTTTACCCTCCATTCTCTATATTTGGAGAATAAAATAGAGAATGGACTCTTCAATCCCCCTTTGGAGAACTACTATTTACACTCTCTATTTTACTTTTTGAATATTTTATTATTATTTTTATTACTTTCTAATTAACATATTATTATGCATATAATATCATCAATTAAGTATCTAATCTTCATACTTCTTTGAAATGTAACATAATATTTTAAAAAATATATCATTTAATATATAGTACTTTCATCCCAGATTAATAGTATTTTAATTTTTTTTTTTCTAATTTTCATCAGTGATATAATTTGATTTGATTTTTAATTTTTACTATATAGAATAAACACAATTAAAATGATAAGATGAAAGTTTTAATTTTTAAAAGTAAAATACGTAATATGATAATTTAAATACAACATTATAATACGATACATAATATTATGATTTAAATACAAGATAAAATACAATACATAACATAATAATTAATTCGAAATGAAGCAAGAATCATGCCGAAAAGATGTTGAACGTGAATTCGGAGTTTTACAATCTCGTTTTGCAATTTATTACAGAACCGTCATGTTTTTTGAGGAAATGAAGTGCTACATGAATAATAACTACATGTATTATGTTGCACAACATGATAATTGAAGGTGAACATGATATCGATATTAATGCACAAATTCAAGATGTCGTAGAGGTTCCAACTCCAACGACGGAAATGGTGGTAGATGAAAATCTTTGATTTGAACAATTTTAGCCATACATTAAAAAAATTTAAGGACGATAATGCTCATTATGAACTCCGTATGCATTAATAGAGCATTTATAGAAACAACATAATAATATTTCAAAAATTAAGTGCTTATGTAATTGTATTTCAATCTTATTAGAATTTGTCCATTAATTTGTATACTATATAGCATATTTTTTTGAAATTTATGTTATTTAAAAATTTATAAAATATCATTTTATATTAAATAATTATTGGGAAAAGAAATATGAAATAAGAAAATAAGAATGAAATAGAAATAATAATATAATATTGAGGATAGAGAAAAAGATTCATTTTTAAAGTGTAACATAGAAAATTGGGTTGGAATTAATTGTCTGAAAAAATAGACAACTCTATATTTGGAGAGTAAAATAGAAGACAGAGTCGAAGATAGCGATCAACTTTGACATTTTATAGTGGCTAACACTAGTTCTACAGTGATATATCCTGTTGCTTCAATTATCCATATGCTCAGGCTGGTCAATTACATTTTAGTTGGCTTGCACTTTCAAATATATAACCAATGCAGATATCACATAGGAGTATCAAATAAGAAAGAAAACTAAAATGTAGCTCATATCATGCCATATTATATAAATCATGTCTCAAGAACATTTTCAGAATCTCTTATAAAATTAAAGGAAAGTTTCATGGATGTTGTAAGAATCATGCCACTCCAGTATCTTAAGGTGCAAAAGTGATTGTCATCTTATACAATATAATCTACCCAAATAAAATAAATTATAGAGATTCAATGAAGTATACAATCCCACTTATCTAGAATCAACCAAGAATTTGGCTCAGATAATGTGAAAAGACACAGCAATGGTATAAGTTGTGCTGGTTTGTTTTACTAAAAACACTCGAAACCTTGTTATCTGCAAGACACAGAATAAGATTTGAGGCTACAAACTATTGACTCTATTTACCGCATCAAAACAAATTTATACGGCAAAACCATGGTAGCAAAAAAACGATTATCAGGCATGCTATCAACAAGTTACAAAATGGCTGTCCACGACAGTATCCTCTATCCTGTCCTGCTGAACCAGTACCACCTGCAATATATCTCGCTTCATTCCACTCTTCAATGAATCTGTTGTCGCTGATACCTGTCACATTTTTTGCAATCTTCCGACAAATTTCACACAATCTGCACGATAATACAGGAATGATCTAACAAAGTTTGATTTGGAAATTCAACTTCAACAAGCATCAAAAGACTGAATTCTATGTTTTCAGTATTACTGTTTACGCTAAATTACCCTTACCAAGCAACTCAATCACTTTAAGAATTTCGCTCTAAACAATTGAAGAGGTTTTCCAGGTTAGGAACATGCTGTCATTCATTTATTCTACTAAGCAACGGTAGTTTCCTGAAGGGACATATAACAAGCTCTTGATTTCAGGAGTCGATCCGATAATAAAAATAAGAAATCATCTTAGCTATTTCTTGCGCAAGGAGTTGAGAGTAGGGTAATAATCGTGTTGCTATCATGCCAGAGTGCAAACCATCTATGACATGTCATTCAAAACATAAAGTTACACGGATATTATCATAGACAAGAAAGGATATCCTTTAGAGTTGGAAGCAAAGGGGAGACAAACATATGGATACTGAAGCACAAAAATTTATTCCCCGTGCATTGATGGCAGTATTGTTGAGAGCGAAACCTACAACTTCAAGGGATGGAGAATCCACTGCAGTAATATCTAATATTTCCTCTTGTTCTGTTATTAGGCATATACAAGTCATACCCTCCAGGAGAGAAGACAGGATAAATTTCATTTTGAACAATTAAGTACAAAGTTTTTGGCTCTTGAAACACGTGATTGTTCTACGCTTTAATAGCTTGAGAAGAGGGGTTTACGGTTTAAAGGACACTGTTACAGGGAATTTGAAATTCTTATTTGACCTAACCTTTTAACATAAGTGATAGATCCCAGAGAAATCATCCAGGTATGCATCATCCAGCATGCTATGCTACCAAAGGGCAGGACAGCAGGCAGCACTAACACTAAAGCCAGAGAAAGTAGTTTTCCTTGTTTTTGTTTGCCCTACTAATCAACATAATTCTTATGCAACATAAAATAACCTAGTAAACTGAACCAGAAGAAGAAAACTGAATCTTTGTGTCTGTTAAGCAACACAATTCCAAAGGTGTCGACTGTTCCAGTGTTCCACCGGGTAGCTGCTACCTCCCACCAACATAGCAAACAATAACTCTGCACACAAAGACTTACTAACAATGCCATAATTTGGCAAGGCAAATACTTTTTAAACCTAATGGCCACCAAGTCCAGTAAATACCAAGTTTTAACAAGACATGAGTACACACAGTATGTTAAATGCAAGCAAAAGAGCTACAAATTGCACCTAAGGATGTAGCCTAGTGGTGAATGAAGTGGTTTGAGAGCCATGAAATCTCATGTTTAAATCCTAACAGAGGCAAAAACAGTAAGTGATTCTTCCCATTGGTCCTAGCCTTGGTGGACAGAGTTACCCAATACTTGTTGTAGGTGAGAAGTGGTAGTTATATATTAAGTATTGACACTTCCTGGCTTTCTACACTATTTTATTTCTTTATATTTTGACACACCTTAGTTGATATTCTAATTCCTTAATAAGATTAAAGCAATATAGATAATATCATCAGTTAAATAACAAATGGAATAAACAATGACAAGTAAAGACAAGAAAAAGGGGAGAAAAGTTAAGTTTACCTATTTCCTTTAAGCTTAAACCAAGTCTCTGCACAATGAGAATGAACAAATCCAAGCTCCCCTTTACACCCACAACCAATCTCAATCAAATCCACAAATTTCTTCCCACTTTCATATGTATCCAAATGGCATATCCTACACACCTTTTCGAAATCATCAACATATTTCACATCAATCACACTTGAAAAACTCTCTTTCTTCAAAACCTTCCCTTTCACCTCATTCCCACCAATCCCAGAGTCCCTATTTTCAACAGTTTCATCCAATCTGATTGTAATTACTGTCTCTACAACTCTCTGATTCTGAGCATCGATCTCCTTATCCATAACTTTTTCGTTAATCTTTCGCAAAATCTCATTCAAAATACTTCAAGAAAACAACTCCAATCAACCAAATAACGAAAAGGGTAAATGAATCGACAAGAAATTAAGATAAGATTAAATTGAAGTTCAAAGGATTTAGTGGGCCCAATTTGGGAAGTGAGAAAATAGATACAAGAAGGTAAAGATCCATACAAATAGTATTAAAAAAACAACGGTTTTAATATTTTGTGAATCTATCAAAATAATTTTGCTATGAAAATTACCAAGTTTCCCTACATTGGTGTCAACCGATTTGTACTCTTCTGCATATATATATATATATACGTGCTGGTCGATAGGGTTGACGAAGTAGTCAAGTGGATTCACTTTGGATCCCGGAATTATGACCATCTTTGTTTGTAAAATTTAAAAAAGTAAAATAATTAAAAATTGGAGTTGTTTTTTTAACTTTATGCACGTAAGTTTAGAGTGAAAGAAGTCAAAATATTGTTTTGTTATTTTTGATGAAACGAAAAAAAAATTCTAAATTTTTCCAATCTCCAAAACAAAATTAATTTAATTTCAAATTATGATTTTATGGCAGGGAATGCATCTTAACAATAAGATCCAAGTTTAAGTAGTCAAGCTATTAAATTTTTTACACAAGGTCAAAGCTCAAGTAGTCAATTGAATACTCCTTTAATTTTAATTTATTCAGTGACATTTTATGGCAAAATAATTTTTTTGATATTTAATTTTAAATAATGTCATTAGAGATAATAAAGGCAAAATGAGAAATTAAAGTTAATGAACAAATATTTATTAATAATCAAACAAAACTGTAGGAAACAATGGAAGTGTCATAACTAATATACTCCAAACTCATCTTTAGTGCAATTTGAAAATTGATATTGGACTCCTAACAGAGTACTTGGCTGAAGACCATTTTATGTATCCTTGTGAAGAATCTGTTGAAGTTGAACGCTTAAATGTTACTTCATAGGACAACTTCTGGTTCAAAGCTGAGAATTTCAAGATACTAGGTTTAATACTCAACGCGACACCTTCAACTCCAATAACTTCAACTGTGTAAGTCGAATTAGCCTCACCAACATTAGTAACGGTCCTTGTGTACGTTTGAGCACTTGATCCAAGATCAATTGAAAATGAAGGATAGTTCAACTCTGCTTCAGCTATGCTCAACGTGCAATGTACCTTCTTATTCACAATGCTACTAACTTGTTGATCGGTGTAGTTTAGGCCGCATAAATAAGGCACATAATCTTGGGGTTGAATGTCATAGACTAAGCCCGGATCATTTGCCTTTGATGGGTTTACATGCCCTGATCCAATTGAAAGTAGATCAGCAGGGTTGAGTTTTTCATCCTGAATCGGATTGTTGCCAAGGTTGACTAAATCAGCAGTCGTCATGATTGCAGACTTAATTGCAGCTGGAGACCAATCGGGATGTGCACTCTTTAACAAGGCTGCTACTCCTGCAAGGTGAGGGCAAGACATCGACGTGCCAGAAATAATGTTGAATGTGGATGTAGCAGATGGTATCACCCCTGCAGGGGGTTTGATCCATGCTGCAAGGATGTTCACTCCAGGCCCAATGATGTCAGGCTTTAATATGCCTTGACTTACGGTATATGGTCCCCTGGAAGAGAAGGAAGCAACTACTGGTGCGTGCTTGTCTCCAATTCTTGTTCCCTTAAATGATATCGTTGCAACTGGGGTTGACGTTGATGTTATATAGTTTATGATCTTTAGTCCGTCGAGGTAACTGACATGTGTTGCAGGAAGGACATGAATAGTTGCAAATGTTGTATAGCCTTGCTCTTCTTCGTTCTTGAGAATCATGGCAGCGCCACCAGCTTTTTTCACTTCTTCTCCTTTTTCGATTCCAGACAAGCTACCCACAGCTGCACACAACACTATTTTACCTCTGACATCAATAATAGCTAATGACTCGCAATCACCACCATCTATGAGGGGCAATAATTTTCGTGACATGTTTGTTGATTGAAAGGCTGATTCACCCTCATATTCAGATCCATTACCCAAAACTGCTACCGCGCTGATCTTTCTATCTGTTGAACTAGCACCAACAGTTAGAATCCATGGGGATCCATTCTCTACAGTAGAACTAAATGGTCCGCTATTTCCAGCTGAGCAAGTTACAAAAATCCCCTTTTCAATCGCTCTATACGCTCCAATTGCCATGGTTTCTGCATAAGGAGGTAAAGCCGTTGCTCCAACAGAAGCGGAGATCACATCCACCCCGTCTTCAATGGCAGCATCAAAACCGGCTAAGATAAAGACTTCAGGACAACCATCTTTATCACAGACTCTGTACATGGCCACGTGAGCACGGGGTGCAATACCAACAGCAGTGCCATTAGCATTACCAAGCAAATTGGCACCACCTACAAAGTTTCCAGCGCCTGTGCTTGAAGTATGTGTCCCGTGTCCATCTCCATCCAAAGGTGACTCAGCCGTCTTCACAAGGTTTCGTGCTCCAATAAGCTTATTGTTACAAGCTTTGTAATTGAACTCACATTTTCCTTTCCATTTAGCAGGAGGAGGAGGCATTCCGTGGTCGTTGAATGAAGGATGATTTGGATTTATTCCAGAGTCTAATAAGCCAATAATCACACCTTTACCAGAATTTGAGGCATTCCACAAGCCAACATTCTGGTGCAACCCAAGGAAACTTGGACTGTGTGTGGTATGCAACTGCAGCACTCTTTGGGGACGCGCAGATACGAATCCTGGTTGTGTCTCCATCATTTTCACTTCATCTGATGACAACATTGCAGCAAATCCATTAAACACATGACGATAAGAATAAATAATGCGCGATGAAAGATCAGAATTTGCTGAAGTTTTAGGCAAAAATGATTGATGCCAGAGGTATGAATCTTTTGAATCAGACAAAACAAAATCATCAGGCAACTCAAGCTGCACAATGTAAGTTTCTAAATCATTTTGATTAGTAGAATGATCAGCAAAAGTAATTTTTGATGAATGAAGCAATATAACAATGCAAAAAAAGATTGAAACTAATTTGAGATCCATGTTTCTTTTTCTTTTTTTTTCTGATTATCACATTCAGCAATATGTGCATTATATAGTATTAAGAGATTTACCCTATTCAATAAATATATACATCTTCCTAAAATATATATTCCACTGCCTATGTGCTTTCATACCAAATCTCTTAATTTAGTGTTATTTTTATGAAGATCAATTTAATATCTATGTATTTTCCTTGGATCAATTTACAACTTGTTACTTGTTATGTAAACACTCAAAGTTTATTCCTTTTATGTCATGTCTAAATGTGATTTAATTTGATCATGCATTAATATGGACAGTAAATCAATTTTTTCAATTAAATATGCATATTAATTATTAGCCTCTTCAAAATTTGCAAAGTAAGAAGAATATTATACAGTACTAATTTATTGCTTAGGACAGGCTCAAACCAGGAACAAGTTTTAATAAAAGTACAAGGGTTATTTGTTAACATGAGTTCTATTTATATATTTAGCATAATAACTCTACTGCCACTAATTTATATTTTTAGAGTCAATTATTTGTAACAGTTATAGTTAAGAAGCATATTAAAGATACAAAATGCAACAGACTCAAAGTTTTCCTCCCATTTTAATATCTAAATATTTCCTTTCTTTGTAATATCTTTCATACAAATCTTATTTATATCTTTTCAGTCGGTACGATTAGAGTATTTCTTTTTTTTCCTAATCAAAGTCTTATTTGAATAGGCTAATTAATATAGAGATATTTGGGAGATAATTGAGTTGCTAACCATAAAAAATGTGGTATATAAAAGGAGGCAAATTCATTGTATCATATTACAGTAAGTTTTATTATAAGGTAAGTAATCAATCATTGATCCAAATTTTGGGACATAAAAGGCTGACATATTTGGCCAAAAAAAAAAATTGATTTACTGACCTAAGAAAATAAGATAATATATCTTAGATGAAATTTCGTCATTGACTCTTTTAGCAAAAGTCAATTAGCTTTAATTTTTTTTTTACTCTAAAGTTAATGAACATTGACTTTTTTTCCACAAAGTCAATTAATTTAGAAGTCATTTAACTTTAATTTTTAACTCAAAAGTCATTTATTTATTTAATTGATTTCTAAATTTAAAATTTGATGACATGAATTATTTTATTTTTAACCAAAATTTTAAGAAATAAAAAAATATTTATTTATACCATATAAAAAAAATATTGACGTTATTATTTTACGCTTATCCTCCTAAGAATAATTTATACAGTAATAATTTATACAGGGGTTGACGACTAAGGACTCCTAATTTGCATACAATTACATAACTTCTTCTAAAGTGATTCTAACAACCAGTAAATAAATACAAATAGACTTCTACTCAAAAACCTAGTCCCAGGTGACATTATCTTTGTAATAACAAAAGAATTTTTTTTTTATTTGTTAAAGGGGTAATTTTTTTTGGATTTGTTAAATTTATTGAGTTAAAAATTAAAGTTGAGTGATTTTTTGAGAAAAAGGTGATGACTTTTGAGTTTTTTTAAAAAAAAATTAAAGGACTTTTTAGAGAGAAAAAATGATAGTTAATTAAGATAACCTTTATTAAATCTGGTCCAATCTAATTGCATATAACGGAAGAGAATTTTCGAGTGGTCATACTTATAATAATTAGTTGGTAAGCAGTAATTAGTGTAATTTGATCCTAGTTTTGAACCTCCATTACATATCTCACATATTTAACTGAGCTTCATCACAATATATATTTACACATCTTGCTAATTGTGTTAGTCACCTAAAAAATATGGATCTGAAATTGATCAGTTTAATCTTTTTTTGGGTTTTCCTGTTTCATTCATCAAAAACATTTGGTGACCATTTTACTAATCGAAGCGATCTACATACTTACATTGTACAACTTGAGTTTCCTGATGATATAGTTTTATCTGATACAAATGATTTACACCTCTGGCATCAGTCATTTTTGCCTACAACTTCAGCAAATTCTCATCTTTCATCGCGTATTATTTATTCTTATCGCCACGTGTTTCATGGATTTGCTGCTATGTTGTCATCAGATGAAGTGAAAGAAATAGAATTGAAACCAGGATTTGTGTCTGCGCGTCCCCAAAGGATAGTGGAGTTGGATACCACACACACTCCAAGTTTTCTAGGGTTGCACCAGAATGTTGGCTTGTGGAATACTTCGAATTCTGGTGAAGGTGTGATTATTGGTTTGCTAGATTCTGGAATAACTCCAAAACATCCTTCATTCAGCGACAACGAAATGCCTCCTCCCCCTGCTAAATGGAAAGGCAAATGTGAATTCAATTCCAAAGCTTGTAATAACAAGCTTATTGGAGCAAGGAACTTTGTGACGACGTCTGCATCACCTTTGGATGTAGAAGGACATGGGACACATACTTCAAGCACAGCCGCTGGAAACTTTGTGAATGGTGCTAATTTGCTTGGTAATGCTAATGGCACTGCTGTTGGCATTGCACCCCGTGCTCATTTGGCGATGTACAGAGTCTGTGATGACGGTGTTTGTCCGGAATCCTATATCTTAGCTGGTCTTGAATCTGCCGTTGAAGACGGCGTAGATGTTCTTTCTATTTCTCTTGGAGGAACGCCTGTTCCTTTTTATGAAGATTCTCTAGCAATTGGCGCATTTAGCGCGATTCAGAAGGGGATTTTTGTTAGTTGCTCAGCAGGAAATAAAGGACCGGAGGTTGGTACTTTAAAGAATGGAGCTCCGTGGATTCTCACTGTTGCTGCTGCTACAACGGATAGAAAGATAAGAGCGGTAGCAGTTTTAGGCAATGGAGCTAAATATGTGGGCGAATCTGCCTATCAACCAACAAATTTATCAGGTAAATGGTTGCCACTCGTAAATGCTAACGGTTGTGAATCGTTGTCGACAATTGATGTGAAGGGGAAAATAGTGTTGTGTGATACCAGTGGTGACTTGTCAAGAATCGAAAAAGGAGAAGCAGTGAAAAATGCTGGCGGCGCTGCCATGATACTCATGAACGAAAAAAAACGTGGCTATACAACAATTGCAGATGTTCATGTCCTTCCCGCAACACATGTCAGTTATTTTAACGGACTAAAGATCATAAACTATATAAAATCAACACCATCCCCTGTTGCAACAATATCATTCAAAGGAACTGAACTCGGAAGCAAACACGTGCCAACAGTTGCTTCCTTTTCTTCTAGGGGACCATTTTTGCCAAGTCCAGGCATATTAAAACCCGACATTAGTGGACCCGGAGTCAATATCCTTGCAGCATGGCCAACCTCTCTAGGTGAAATGATAACATCAACGTTTAACATCATTTCTGGAACGTCGATGGCTTGCCCTCACCTTGCAGGAGTAGCAGCATTGCTAAAGAGCGCACATCCTGATTGGTCTCCAGCTGCAATTAAATCCGCAATCATGACCACTGCTGATATCATCAATCTTAAAAAACATCCAATAGAGGACGAAAGACTCAATCGTGCTAATCTATTTACAATCGGATCAGGAAACGTGAATCCATCAAGAGCAAGTGATCCAGGACTCATTTATGACATTCACCCCGAGGATTACATCCCCTACTTATGTGGTTTGAAATACACAGATCAACAAGTTAGTTCAATTGTGAGAAGGAAGGTACATTGTACATCAAGCATAGCTGAGGCAGAGTTGAATTACCCTTCTTTTTCTATTAGCTCGAAATCAAGGGCTCAAACATATACAAGGACTGTGACTAATGTCGGAGAAGCTAATTCAACTTACACAGTTGAAGTGTATGGACTCAACGGTGTTAAGGTAGCCGTCAATCCAACCACCTTGAAGTTTTCAGGGTTGAATCAGAAGGCGTCGTATAATGTAACTGTTAAGCATTTAAAGCATAGATCACATTCCCAAGGATACATAACATGGTCTTCTAGTAGGTACTCTGTCACAAGTCCAATACAAATATTTCCGCATAGCATTTTAAAAATGTAAAATGGCTGTCACAAGAAATGAGTTCTCCATCATTTATTAAACAAATCCTTCTATGTTCTTAATTCTTTTATGATCCTTCTGCAAATGCATTTTTTTTAATACTAGTGAAGTGCTCCGCGCTTAGCGTGATAGTGAAAAACTTCAGTAACCTATATTTTTGTGTTATGCATTTGAACTTAATTGTGCAATTAATTAGATATATTTAGATCACAAAAAAATGTTTTTCATTAGAATTATTTTTGATAAAATTGATAGCTATGACGTTCTAAGTCAACTAACCATCTTGATGGTCGTTGAATAATTGGGCAGTTGCAAATTACCTACTTGTGTTCATAATAAAAATAGATCCAAACTTTTCAATAAAATACAAAAGACTAACAATGTTCAGTCAACAAAAAGGGCACAATTTCCTGAGTCTATGTGTAAAAGTCATATCCCATGATAGACAATGGATAATAAAGATCCAAAAGTCGTAAGTAGTAGTTATTGCAAGATTGTTTGAAAATAACTGATATATATTTGGGGTTAAGTCAAAGTTTTTCATTTATTGTGCTTCTACCTACCTGATTTATGTATACATCGCCAGAATCGTAGTCCTAACAAAGACTAGAACAAGAATGTCCAGTTTTTTTATTAAAAAAAAAAATCAAGACCCAAAAAGTCACATATATTAAATTGGTTTTCAAGAACGTGCGTTGTATATTTATCCTAAAATATTTCACACAATGTTGGTACTGCAAATAATAAATTTAAACAACTAAATATCAAGAATTAGCTATTATGCATGAAAGTTTACATTTGTTACCGATCCAAAGGTATATATATATGTACATTTCACAAATTTCATCAATAATTTATTTCCTCATAAATTTAAAGAATAATGAAGTTACAATGGTTCATCAACTTATAAGACACCATTAAATCTTTTCATTTTCATTTTTATTCTCTTCTTGTTCATTTTTGTTCTATTTTTTTTAATTTTTTTGTTAATGAGTTGGATTCCCTTGTACAGAATCACATCAACTTTTTTTTCTCGTAGGAA